TTTTATCTTTCTTTATTATTTGGTGAACAACAAGGACATATGCATCATGCGCTTCATACATAACGGAAAGCACCTTATATATATATAAATTTTTTATATTTTTTAATATATCTTAACAAATGCCTGAGCAATTTGATAAGTTAGAGACTTTTTTTTACTTTTTTTTTTAATTTAACTTATTTTTTAATATAATCTTTTTTTACAATGTTTGTATATATACATGTAACATACACGTATTCATTTTAGTGTTACATATGCAAGTATGGATAACGAGCAATGTCCAAAGAAGTCGAAACTTGAAGAGATTCCTACTGTGAACGAAGGAAAAGCACAGATATTGGTAACGAATGAAAAAGTGTTTTATAATCCTGTTCAAGAATTTAATAGGGATCTCAGTATAGCGGTATTAACGATATTTGCCAAGGACTATAACGAAGAAGTGCTGCAGAGAAACAAATTAGAGAAAGACAATAAAATCAGTGTACCGCATGACGCAGAAAATCAGAGAGGAATTACTATATTGGAAGCTTTATCTGCGACTGGTTTGCGTAGCATACGATATGCCAAGGAAGTGAAGGGTGTCTGGCAGATTATTGCGAATGACATTTCTGCAAAGGCGGTAGATAGCATTAGGCAGAATATTTTACATAACGGAGTTGAAAATTTGGTAATTCCTTATCATGAGGACGCGACGTTGTTGATGTATCAGCGCAGAAGAAATCGCTTCGATGCGGTCGATTTAGATCCCTATGGTTGTCCCTCAATGTACCTGGATGGTGCGGTGCAGTGTGTGTCCGATGGTGGCATACTTCTGGTTACCGCTACTGATGTGGCTATTCTGGCTGGGAATGTTCCGGAAACTTGTTACTATAAATATGGAGCAATATCCATAAAGTCGAAATCTTGCCATGAGATAGCATTGAGAATATTACTGCAATGCATTGCGTCCTATGCAGGACGTTACGGACGGTACATAGTACCATTATTGTCTATAAGTGTTGATTTTTATATAAGAGTATTTGTCAAGGTCTTCACGAGTCATGATAAGTGCAAAGAGAACTCTAACAAGATAGGAATGCTCTATCAATGTAATGGATGCGAGAGTATGAATTTTCAACCATTAATGGTGAGGAAGGCTGCCAAGAATTACAAATTACCAAGTGCACCCGTAACTGATCAATTGTGTAAACATTGTCAACACAGGCAGCACATGGGTGGTCCAATATGGCTAGGTCCTTTACACGATCACGGATTTGTGTCGCGATTATTATGCAACTTGAATAGTATGGAGTTGGGTACATCGAAAAGAATGGAGGGTGTCCTGACCGTGATACATGAAGAACTAGACATTCCTTTGTATTATACTCTAGATCGTTTGATGTCTATAGTTAGGTGTCATGTTCCACCAATGTTGATGTTCAGGTCAGCATTATTAAACGCAGGATACAAGGTATCGTACTCGCATGCAAGTAGAATTTCTATCAAAACGGATGCGCCAAATGATGTTATATGGGATATTGTGCGTGCCTGGGAGAAAAAACACCCTGTAAAACGAGAGAAATTGGCTGAGGATAGCCCAGCTGCGCGAATACTTAATGCATCGTCCACGATGGATATCTCGCTCACTATGCATCCTCTTGCCAATCCAATTTCTCGGCAAAGGCATTTATCTCGCTTTCAACAGAACCCTACTGCAAATTGGGGACCTGGCGTCCGTTCGAGAACTAGGGTTGATCTTGAAAATAAAGCGAACGATTCGAAAAAAGTGAGAAATCAAAATAAAAACAAAAAAAAATTAGTGATGGTGGAACAGCAGATAGTACAACAATGAACAAAGAGTCATTTATGCTTGATGTATTTTAATATCTTGAACAGTTATTATTCTGGATTAATATACATTATGCTGATTCTGCAATGAGTCGATAGTCCTAAATTTTATCAGTGAAGTTGATCAATAGCCAACTTGTATGACTAACGCTGATTGGCCAATTTTACCGATTAAGACTAAGATTTTCGACTACAGACTCATTGTATAATCAGCATTAAAGATAGAAAAATCACAACGAACAGTTTTTATAAAATTATTTATATATTGATGTAATTAGGCAAGTGACAAATAATTTTTTGATAGAGATATGCGAGTCCTTGTATATTTATACGATACTGCATATTGTTATCTGAGATTGTAAGAAACTTTTGCATTGTTGCAAATGTGTCTTATAATAAAATATTTTTTTTACAAAATCTGTCGTTTTTGTGTTTTTTATCATTACTTTTATCATCATATTTATTGTAAAATTCAAATCTTGATAAGAATATTCGAAAAAGAGAAGATTATAAAAAGGCTTTTATTGGCTCATTCGAAGTTGACTTTTCAAACAAAATATAAATATAGCTCTTGTGAGATGTATTAGACATATTCGCGCTTAAAATTTTCAATAATACGTTATCTGTTACTTACATAATTTGATTACGTAACGTAATTTTCACATTTTTCCAAATTGGATTACGTACATTAATATATATATATATATATATATACATATATATATATATATATATATATGTGCGTGTGCGTGTGCGTGTGCGCGTGTGCGTGTGCGCGTGTGCGTGTGCGCGTGTGCGTGTGTGCGTGCGTGTGCGTGTGTGCGTGTGTGCGTGCGTGTGCGTGTGTGCGTGCGTGTGTGCGTGCGTGCGTGTGTGTGTGCGTGTGTGTGTGTGTGTGTATGCGCGCGCACGCGCGTGTGTGTACATATACATATCACGCTGGTATGAATACAGTAAATATACATCAATGATAATAGGTTGTTATATCCATCTACTGCGATAGAACATTTTATGTTATAACTTGGTAAGATAAACATTTAGTTTGTCGAAATATGGCAGCGCAGACTACAGTTTTAAACAATGGTGTAAAGATTCCCGTACTCGGACTTGGTACCTGGCAGGCAGACGTAAGTATACATAACAGTAAAATAAAACATAGCAAATTCTCTCAAAGAAACTTGATTTATATCCGTTTCCATTAATGTAAATTAATTCTTATTTCGATTTAATTTAAACATTTTTTATTGTTTTGTAATTCAGATATATATATAAAGTTAAACCGAGATTAAAGTTAATCTTATATACTTTATATATCTTAAGACCTGGTTCTACAAATATAAAATTAATTTTAATCTTGATTCAATTTATTCTTTATTTTTTCTAAATCTAAGAATTAGAAAAAGATAAAAAATAAATTGAATCAAGATTAAAGTTAATTTTAAGTTCATATACGTACAACAATTTTAGTCGTAATTGTCAAGTCTCAAGCAAATCAATCAATCACAATCAAAATTACAATCTCATGTTTTAAAACGCTCAATTATGATTGGTCGATTTGCTTACGATCTTACAATTAAAATTTTTGCACGTGTAACGTACATTTATTGAATCGGATATAAATCTTATAAAATGATTTTATATTTCATATATTAAAGTGATTGCAATCATTTTAAAAAAGGGGAATATCACTCTTAAGTGAATGTGGACACTAGATAAGATAAGTAAATTTTTAGAGCACATGTGCAACTACATGGCGTTGCTGTCCGTGTAATGTCACACAACAGGCTTAATTTTCGGTCTTTGTTACAGTTGCATTTTATTTGTTTTAACTGATATTTCACTCTTCGAGTTTTACCAAGTACATTGGTGGAAACGAGCGTTTAGATTGATCACATCATTGGATGTTCAATGAAAGCATCAGACGGTATCTTTCTTTCAATGTCAGTGATAACGCAAAGTTCATGATCACTATAAATGGAACTGATATATACATCAACAACTTGATTATCTATACAGTTTGAGCTGAACCAACTTTTATAATTGATAGCTACTACATAAAAATTAAGAAATTGTGACGATTTTAATATAGCTTTATCTTTTACGAATTAATATTTTCGTTAGTCCATTTTCAGATGCTTTCTTCTCATCTGTCAATAGATAAAGAAATTTCTAAATGCGTAGCATCGTCTGAAATTTTATAATTTAATTAATTTAATTTTGTTTTAGGATGATCCAAAGATTGTCGAGCAAGCTGTGCATGATGCTATTGATGCTGGATATCGACATTTCGATTGTGCTTACATTTATCAGAATGAAAAGGAAATTGGCAAAGTCCTACGTGAGAAGATCGCGAAAGGAATCGTGAAAAGAGAAGATCTCTTCATTACTACTAAGGTACATTCGCATTATCTCCTGGTCTGAATTCCGATATATTAATAAAATCGATCGTTTTTGTTCAGTTGTGGAACACATTCCATAAACGAGACAATGTAGTGCCGGCTTGCCGAAGATCTGTGGAGAACTTTGGACTCGGCTACGTGGATCTCTATCTGATACACTGGCCCATATCTTATGCGGTAAATTAATGGATTTTACAGTAAGCTATTGGTATTCAGATGGCAACGTATCTTAGATTAAGACATCATATTACAAGATGTCTTAAAGTAATCTTTAAGATGTATTCGAGATTCTTATGTCCGCAATTTGGATACGATGTTGTCTGGGCAACATCACGCAATGCTGTCATATTGCCAACAATGCAATAAAGTAACATTGCTGCAGCTATCTTGCCGTTAAATTGCCGGCAATACATATACACGTTGTTGCTTACATATATGTTGCTACAATGTCAATATACTCGAAATCGTTGAAGACAAATCTACCAAATTGCCAGCATTATAAGTAATTACTTTTTTGTGCGATTTTATTGATGAGATACGTTTTGCTATCTGGGTAATATTATAGATCAGAAATCAAGAACAAGTTGTAAGCAAGTCAGTGCCTCATAACAACAATATGTCTGTAGTAATCAATTAGCGATTACGTGAAAATAAATTGTATAAGAATTTCATTTCTTATACAATTTAAAACTTAGGTTACATCTGACTGACCAATCATATAGTGTATTGTTATTTTCTTTGAATTACCACCCAAGTAGCACAGCAGCGCTTGCAAAAAAGCGATTATATGCGTTTTTTTAGCGCTTTATTAACGCTTAATAAGTACTGTGCGCTACTTGGACAGCTTGGACTTCTGATTGGTTAAAATATTGTGATATAACGATCTAATATGATTTATTTTGAATGTAAGTTTCCTAAGATTTATGATTTATAATTTTAAGTTATCACTAGTACGATATAATAAGTGCGATAAACGGTTTATTATAAAAAAAATACACGTACAACATTTTAACGCTTGTCAATGATTTTTTTTTTAGATTACGCGATTGATATCATTAGATAAAAATCGATGGTATCGTACCGTCATTATTGATACGTACGTCTACAACACGAAAGAGAATAAAAGTTAATTTTTATTGTGCTATTTCTTGCTTTTTAGTACTTTTCCTCTTATATTTTTGCCTTTTATCCTGTTTCATTATTTTTTTACTATCCAAAATAAAAGTTGTTGATTTTGAAAAATAAGAAATACGATTGTCAATGTAGCGAAAAGGAAAAAAGATAAGAAGTAAAAAGCAAGAAACAGAAAGCGAACATTGTAGATTAGTTTTAAATATCGTGCAATGCAAAAATTATATTACAAACGAGTTTCGCATTATGATAAAAATTAAAATCGTGAGCATTACCGTTCCTGCTTACGCCGCATTTATTTTAGGAAAATGCCGACGGAATAATACCGATTGACGAAAATGGCGATCCAATGTTCGGACACGAGGATTTCCTTGACACTTGGCGCGGTATGGAGGAGTGCGTGAAATTGGGTTTAACGAGGAGTATTGGTCTCAGCAATTTTAACTCCGAACAAATCGACCGCGTGTTATCGATTGCTCAAATAAAACCTGTAATGAATCAGGTGGAATGCCATCCGAATTTGAATCAGAGAAAATTGAGAGACTTTTGTGCGAATCATGACATAGCTATCACAGCTTATAGCCCGTTTGGTTCGCCTAATTGGCCTTGGGCTAAACCTGGCGATCCGAAAGTTGTCCTTGATGCACCTGAAATTGTAAATATTGGCGCTAAATACGGCAAAACCCCCGCACAAGTTATTCTGAGATACTTGGTAAGATGTGCCATTATTAATTAATTGTTGTACGCGGCTACTGGGTGTCTCTTTAATGATATAATTCTTGACTGACTTAGGCCCGATTTTATAATATTATTTATTGTTATGTGAAAACAGGTCTTTTTGTTGAGAGACGATCTTTTTGTTACGGAAATATTGAGACGTTAATTATTTATTTTTTATTTATAAGCAATTAGAAAAGAAGGAATTAAATTCGCAAATTTTAGAAAACCAAATGGATAGCAAGATGACGTTTCTCCAATTATTTTCAAATGAAATGTTATTTAAAGAAAATCTTAATTAGAAGAGTAGAAGTTAAAAATATGCATGATGCAAAAAATTGGAAAGTTGCAATAAATGATTTTTGATAGGGAAAAATTGATTTTTTAAATTGATCAGAGAAAATTTGTTATTAAAGGGACATCTGTTGATTTTAAGACACTTTATAGATTGAATAATTTAGCAATAATTTTTTACGAACAGGTTGACATTGATACTATACCAATCCCAAAATCCAGTTCAAAGAAGCGTATCGAACAGAATATTAACATCTTTGATTTTAAATTAACTCCGGAAGAAATTGCCATAATTGACAAATTCGATTGTGGCGGACGTGTAGTGCAATTTGAACAGTATACTTAATTATTTTTTAAAGAATGTCATTATAGTACATTCTCATAGCACAAAATTTGCAGCAATATTGTTGCAACATGTAATATTACTGCAATGTTGCAACAGTGTTGTCGCAACTTTTGTGCTGTAGGGATTTTGAACATCTAAATAATTTTCTATTTTTTCAGATATAAAACACACAAGGATTATCCTTTCCACTTGGAATTTTAACTGAAAGCGTCTAACTAGCAACGTTTTAAAAAGTTCCTAGACAATCAATATTATTGCACAATATTTGATCATCTGAAGACTGTATAGAGTTTCCAGACTGTTGTTTTAAATTATTTAAATAGGGATATCAATGTAATACTATATAAAATAATTGTACAATATTATTGAACATCTAAGAGCCTCTTTAGATTTTTTATGCAATGTAATCACCGAATCTAACAATTGTACAATATCGGTTTATGTAGAATAAATCTTATGTTGTACACACAATCGAATACTTTCAATCTCGACTTTTTTATTCTCAATCACTCCTTATTCTTGAGTAGTTGATACTTCATAAGAAGGAATGGATCCCTTCTATTTTTTCATTACTTCTAGGTTACTTTACATATATGCAGAAAATTATGAACATATACGAATAACGATCACGCAAAAATTATTCTGTGTGAACTATAAATACGTACGAGTAGTTATAAAAAAAAATAGATAATAAAGGATTTTTGTAATAAATCGATTATTAATGTACTTTGACTGTATTTCGATATTTATTTCTAAGCTTATATTTATTATGAATTAATATACATTTCATACTTGTACTGTAATAATTTTCTATTATTATATAAACGCAAAATATATCGCGAATAACATATAATATTGTAAAGTATTTTTTTCAAAATTGCATCATTATCTAATCTAGAGTTAAATATTACATGTCCCACAACTCGTTGAAGATCTAAGAAAATAAGAGATAATATTATACCATTATTATCGTCCCATGATATGCGAGATTATAAACGTGACTCTTCTCTTTTACTTATAATCAATTAAAAATGAAAAGATTGCATCAAATCACAGATTGAATTATGTAATATAATATCCGTCTAACATACAGCATAAATGAATCAGCAGAAAATCACTGCGACGTATATAAAGCGCATGAAATAATAGTCAAGAGTAAGTATTAATATTGTGCTAAGTAAGATAAGATGTAAGAACTTCTCGTGTTGTGTTATACATACGTGAAATTTTCTGATTCTAGACAGCTCATAATACATTTTCCTAATAATTATCTTTGTAATAATTATCGATTTCAGAACAAGTAAATGGATTTATTGTAGAGATACGTTTAATTTGTAAATTAATAGAAATTGTATTATATATTACATTCTAATAATTCATAATTAAACAAATTATTAAATTATATACCTAAATATTATCTAATTTAAAAAATGTGATATAATGTGTTTCTCAGCTTTAAATTTGAATAAAATTCGCGGCTGTCTATTCAATATAATGCTTAAAACATATACATATAATGTGTATTTCATCGATTTTTTTCATCAAGTAGTTCATATCTCTTTAGGCTATTCTTTTTGGCTGAATTTTTACACCAGTTCATCTTTCTTCTTCTTTCTTCTTGAAGAGAAAAGGGAGAAAACTGAATAAATTAGTGCAAAATTCAGCTAAAAAGAATAGCTTCTGTCTTTCTGTTTCTCTCTCTTTGAGCTAGTCTCATCAACTCCGATTAACCTAATCGATCGATTAAGTGTCAATCGTGATTGGTCAATTCTGCTGAACAGCAAATGCAATTGATCAGTTCCAATGTAACAATCGACCGATTAGCCCAGTAAACAAGAATGGTTTAAAATGGATTGAAATTTTTTTTCTATTCGAATGCGTATTTTAAATAGCGATTACTTTTTTTGGGATTTAATCGGATTCAATTGTATTCAATTGGATGCAATTGGAATGAAAAATTGCATTTCCTATTCAAAATTTTGAATTGAACAGTATTCACAATGCATAGAAAAAGCTAATATTATTTGTAGATTGAAAGGCATAGAGATATGCTCCATGCAATTCCTATAAATAAATAAAAATGCATTCAGGATTGAAAAGCATTTATTTTAACATTTGTGAGTCAATATTTCTGAAAATCTGAATCCATTTCAACTTCAATCCATTCTCGTTTACTGGGAGGTTAATCGAAGTTGATGAGATCGGTCCTTTCTCTCTATTCCTGTTTTTTCTCCCTCCTATTACATAAAGCTATTACTATACATCTGTAGTGTGGAGTGTGTGGGTGTGTGTGCGTGTGCACGCCTGACAGCTGCGTTGCGAAAATACTGCGTAAGAGCCGGTCCAAATATTATTTTATCTTTGTTGCACTGTATCTTAAACAAGGATAAAATGATACTCGGACTACTCGGAGGTATTTGGGTAGGATTTTCGAACGCAGTTCGTTTTGTCAGGCACACATTCCACACCACACAAGGCGCAATCGTGATGTCTGTGTTTTTATGTTACATATATGCGTTATTTTAATTCAACGATTTTACTGATGAGTCTGGGTGCTCGTGAGGCGACGACATTCGAGAAATATATATAATATTAGCTTTTTCTTTATTATTAGTGTTTTATTTCCAGATAATAATTCTCGCACTGCAACACACAGTATTGCATGTGTGCCTATCGATACTGTGAGTTGTTTAAACGACATACTTGTCTAAAGTGTTCCATAATAACCAAGGACTCAGTTGCGCTGTTGCTTTGACGGCCTTGCACTCCAGCTTCCTGCTGCTGCATATACCTACCTATAATCTGCAGTCGGTGATAACAATGGCTGGTATTCCGACAATTACATTTTCGAATGGATACAAAATGCCGGTGTTGGGCCTCGGAACTTATAACGTATGTACCTATTTTATAACAAGAGATAGAAGTAGACATATATAGGCCCGTATTCAGAACGCGCTAACATGCTATAAATTTACGTTACGCGTACTGCAGAATTTCAGAGATAAAAGCGCATTCTGAATATGGACCATAATGTGTACGAATTACATCATCGTGAGATATTATTTTACGCGCATTTTATTTGAATTTCAAACGTATCGCAGCATCCACGTCAAAATGAAAATCGGGCAATTATTCTTATCGTATATTATTCCATAATGATCACTAATCCTATTTATTTTATAATACAATTTTTATTTAATATTCTTACTTGGAATTTTATTTTTGTTTATTTTGGTAAATCTATTTCACTCAAATTTAGAATTGCGATCCCTCTCCCGCGCACAATTCTCTTTTTTAAGACGTTCAGGGACGTGCGGGGAAGATTTTCCAAAAGCTTCCGAGATAATTACGTCTCTCTCTCTCTCTCTCTCTCTCTCTCTCTCTCTCTCTCTTTCTTCGGGGTTTTAGACTATTTCTAAATTTTATCTAAGAAATAACAGCTATGAGTTAAAACAGGTTGTTGACTAATAATTTAATTTTAATATTTAACAATTCATTTAAAATATAAAATTACATACGTTTCTTTATCAGGTCATGCTCAGTGTAAAATAAACAACAATTTAACTGATTAAAAATAAAAAAGATTACAATATTATAAGTCGGTTAACATATAAAACATTGTTAAATTCGTAAACATATTAATACAGATTTTTAAGGTCATTTAAATTAAAAAGTTGGTAAAGAAATTAATTCTCTTTTCCAGATGGATTAAAAATATATATAAAAGATCGTAATATTATAAATCAGTTAACTTAAAAGTATCTAACTGTTAAGGAATCTTTTAAATTTTTTACTTTGATTTTTTTCTCGCATTATTCTCTATTACTTCTGATTTACAATAGTAATCCTTAAGCTGTAATAAGAAACTGACCAATCGTAGTTGAATGTGAGGAAAATAATCGACTAATACAATTGGTCAATTTCTTACATTAAATTAGTATCACTAATGTCGACCAGATGTGAAATAATTATTTGTTTACTATTTTGATTAATTTTATTAACAGACATGTATTTTTATAGACGTTTGGAATTTCAAGCGAAATGTCCCGGCCGGTGTTTCGCTTGTTAGTTTTACTTTTGAAATTTTAGATACGGGCAATCTTACCCAACATAATTTGTATTTTTTTCTTTTTTCTTTTTGGAAAAAAAATAGTCTAAGATGGGGGATGTGAAAAGAGCTGTTAAAGACGCAATAGATCTAGGATATCGTCATATTGATACAGCTTTCCTTTATGGTAATGAGGAAGAGATTGGAGAAGCTATTCGCGACAAAATCAAAGATGGTAGCGTGACCAGAGAAGATCTATTTATTACCACAAAGGTGAGATCAATGCGTAAGCATGAGCAATATACGTATATTTATTTTAGCACCTACTAAATTCCAAATAATTCATTTTTTATAAGAGACGCAATAAATATCAAAATTTAAATTAAATATTTTGCTTTGTAAATTTAATTGTATTTGTTTTGTTGCAGTTGTGGAACAATTTCCATAAAGAAGAGCATGTCGTCCCGGCCTGCAAACGATCGTTGGCCAATCTTGGTTTAGATTATGTGGATCTCTTTTTAATTCACTGGCCATTTGCTTTCAAGGTAAGTATTGACATCAATGAAGTG